AATCCAGCTCCCATTGATTCATTCATCCAACAGGTATGTTTTGATACCTTCCCTATGATAGTCATTTGAGTGGGCACGGGAGATATGGAAACCAGCAAAACAGGCGTATTTCTTGCTTTGTGCACTTAATTTTTTTTCTTTTTGCAATACTAGGGATTAAACTCAGTGCTTCCCTCCCTCCCTCCCTTCCTCCCTTCCTTCCTTTTTTCCTTGACAGGGTCTCCCTAAATTGCTAAATTGCCCAGGCTGAGGCTCAAACTTGTGATCCTCCTGCTTTAGCCTCTTGAGTAGCTGGTATGATAGACATGCGCCAACATGCTTGGCTTGGTCTGTACAATTTAAAACCTAGTGGGACAGTCAGATAAATTTTATAAACATAAAATTCCATCAAGTAATGAGTACTGTGAAGGAAAACTTTGGGAGCTTTGAGAATTTGTAACAGGAAGTACTAGTGTGGTCTGGAGAGTCAAGGAGACTTCCTCAAGGAAGTGAAGCTTGATTTGAGACCTTTAGATTATCAGGAACGGCTGAGCCTTCCCTGCGTCTTTCCTAGACCTGCAGGGTCGCTAAAATTGGCTCGCCTCACATCTTAGCTCCCCTAGGGTCTGTAAGCCTCAGCCCCTTGGTGTGTGATTCAGATCCTAACACTCAGTGATCTCTCTTCCTACTTTTCATTAGAGAAGTTGGCCAGACTTTAGGAGAGCAGAGAGACACATGTACGTTGCACGAAAGGAAAATGGGATGATGCCTGCCAAAGCAGAGACACAGCCCGAATGCAGAGAGCAGAGGCCAGAATCCAAGTCCTTCCCAGCCATCTTTGTCCACTCAGAAGATGAAATTGCATCTTTTTTTCCACCCAAAAAAAATTGCATTTTTTTTCTGCCTTTGCACTCCCTGGGGCTAATATTAAAAAGGGCAAAACAATGCAGAGCAGTGCTGGCCCACGGCTGATGTCTTCTCCTAGGTATTGTAGGCAGGGTCTGGAATGCTCTAGCACAATGGAGCTGAATTAGGAAATGGACTTTGATCCCTCTTCAATACAGAAATCTCAGTTCCAATAAGAAGCCAAATCAATTTTTGTGGACCAAACCCTGAGCTACACTGTATTAGTTAGCTCAGGCTGCTGTAACAGCAGACTGAATGATACAGCAGAAAAGTCTTTACTCACAGCTCTGGAAGGAAGAATTCCAAGATCGAGGTATCAGCATGGGTCAGATCTGGTGAGGGCCTCTTCATAGCTTTCGGACAGCCACCTTCTCCTGGTGGAAGAAAAAGAAAGGAAGGAAGCATTCTGGTGTCTCTTCATGTAAAGGCATGGACCCCATCTGATGAGGGTCCTATTCTTAAGAACTCATCTACCCTTAATCAGCTTCCAAGGGCCCTGTCTTCAAATACCATGACACTGGGCATTAGGACTTCAACACCAGAATTCAAAAGAACACAAATGTTTGGTCCAGAACAACTCCCATTGACAGAAGCAACCATTTCTAGAAGCTTCATCTCTAATTCAGGTTGAAGAACCTCTTTGAGAAAATTATTTTGAATTTCTTCTTCAATCACCCATTGAGCCCCTTCACCTTCCTTTTTCCTAATACAGTAATTTCTTAATACAATAATTACCTGAGTTTAATTCTGTTTGTTATGGAGGGCACGTTCTTTTAGCTAAGCAATTGCAAATAATGACTTTTTTTTCCTATTCTAAATTCTTTTGACTTAAGCAACTGCTCCTCCTCTGAAGTTCCTTCTGATATAAAGTATTATAATATTTCTCTCCCTTAGCAATTTTTCTCAGGTCTCACTGAGCAAACCACTGAGAAAACCACTGTAAATATTTAGCATTCCTTACACCCTGTGAACCACACAGCCTCACCTTTTCTGGGGCTCCAAATGTCAGCTTTAAACCTCTAGAAAAAGGGAAACAAAGGGGCAGGGCATGTGAGTGTCCTCTGCAGAGGAGTGCGGGCTAGGGGTGCTGCCCAATTTAGGTTTCTAAGAGTGGGATTTTTAAATTGTGATAAAATATGCATAACATAAATTATAACCATCTTTAAGTATATAATTCATTTAAAGTATACATGCACAATATTGTACAGCTGTCACCATGACCCATTTTCATTGTACCAAAGTGAACCTCTGTACCCATTAATCAGTAACCCCAATCTCCCCCCTCTATCTGCACTGGCCATCTTTCTCAATGAGTCTGCCTGCTCCAGGGATCTCACAGAGGGGGAATCAAGCCAGTCCCCTTTTCCTTCTGGTGTATTTCACTTTGCATTAACATCTTTATCTTAGCTCATTCAGGCTGCTGTAATGAAACACCACAAACCAGTGTTTTAGCCTATGAACAACAACAAAAAATCCTTATTTCTTACAGTTCTGGAGACTGGGAAGTCCAAGACCCAGGTGCTGGCAGATTTGGGGAAAGAACATTTCTCATTCACATATGGGACCTTCTCAGTATCTTCATGTGGCAGAAGGAACAAGGTAGCTCTTTGGGGTCTCACTTGTAAAGGCACTAATTCCATCATGAGGGCTCTGCCCTTACAAGCTAATCACCCCCCAAAATCCTCACTTCCTAATGCTATTATATTGGTTCCAACGGATGAATTTGTGAGGGATATAAACATTCAGACCATAGAGCCTTTCAAGATCCATCCATGTTATAGCATGTATCAGAAAGAATTTCATGCTTTTTATGGCTGAATAGTATTCTACCATATGTATATGCCATGTGTTGTTTATCTATTCAACTGTTGATGGACACTTTGAGTTGTTTCCATCTTTTGGCTACTGCCTAATAAAGTTTACCATAATAGATGAGATCTGGTTCCATTGTGACCTACAAGCAATTTAACAACTAACTCCCTTTATTTCATTCTCTGGAAATACGACATCACACAGAGCAATTTAGACACCAGGGCACTCCAGGAAAGCTGAGGCTGAAGTGTGGGTAGCTGTGGTCACTTGGGGACCACCTGATCAGAGATAGACCCTGAGGGGCTAGGGCTATGTGACATAGACTTTCTGATTCTACAAGAAAAGAGATCTTTCACTTAAATCCACTCATTCACACTCACTCACAACTCACTCCAGTGTGCTGGGCACTTACTGGGAGTCAGTGGTGAGCTGACCATTGTGAACTTACAGCTGCTAGTGGCAAAGAGGGAAACCAGCACTGACAATGGCCCAGGGAAACGGCCCTGGGGGAGGACATCTGCTTTTGGGAACACGCAGGCGGTCCTTACCTGGCCTTGGGAGCCAGGAGAGGCTACCTGGAGGAAGTCACACCAGTGCAAACTCCTAAATGAAGGGGAGGAGCTAACCAAATAAAGAGAGCTGGAAAAGTGACCCAAGGAAAAACCTGCCACGGTCTGGAGTGGGAAGGACCTGCAGTGGGCCTCGGCGAGTGATTTTGCCTTCCCAGAGACTCACAGAGACTGAGAAGAGGCAGGCAGGGGTAGGCAGGGGCAGGCAGGGGGATTCAGTGAAGGCCCTTGTGTGATGTTTGGTCTTAATATTGGGTCCAAAGGGAAGTTCAGATGGCTCTGAAGCAGGAGAAAGGAGAACTGGATCTTCCCTTGGCAGAAGCAGCCAGCAGAAAACCATGGCACAGCCCACCTCTTCGGAACCCTTTGCGCATGCTGGGTACTGGTTTAGCGCTTCACTCATACTATCTGGGTTACTCCTCAGAACCGCTGACCAAGAGGAGTGAGGAGGAAACTGAAGCCAAGGCAGCACTTAGCAAGGCCCCTAAGGATTGGCCACGGGTGCTGATCGAAGCCAGAAACACCAGCCCTGCGGGACAGTGTGACCCTGGGGCCGGTAGGTCCTGCACTGTGTGGAAACTTGTTGGAAATGCAGAATTTCTGCCCGATCCTGATTTTCTAGGTCAGAATCTGCATCTTAACATGCTCCCCGAGTAACTACCCGAACACTGAAATTTGACCGGCACAGATGGCAATTCCTAAGTTTGGCTGGATTTAGAATCACCTGCGGAGTTCTGAAACTCAGACTGTACCCGCAGGTCAGTTACATCAAAAGTGCTGGAGCTGCAACCGTGCATCAGGGTTTTTCAAAGCTACCTACTCAGCCAGTTCTTTGCATTTTACGTTTCCTGGGGGGTTGGGGGGTGGGGGCGGGGGGGTGAGACCAGCTCCTGCAGAGAGAGCTCACCCCGCAGGGTGCAGGGTCTGTCCAGCCACCAGCACCTCTGTAGCTTTAAGAACTGGGGCTGGCTGCCCGCCTGGAAGCCCTCCCGGCTGCACAGGCCACGTGGTCCAGGCTGTGGGAGCTGAGTGGAGCCGAGCTGTATCAGTCAGCGCCAGGGGCCGGTCCCGGCTTGCAGACCTGAGCCCTGCAGAAAACGCAGGCTGAGGTGACAAGCCGAGGGAAGGGGACGTTCATGCCTTTGGGAGGTAAGCGCACGTTCTGCCAGGCTGCGGGAACAGAGAGGAATTGTGTGAGGCTCACTCCAGTCTAGACGTCTCGAACAAACAGTAAACCAGGAAGGGAGGAACACAGCCCAGCCGCAGGTGACAAGCACACACCCCATGCCATCTGAGGACCCAGACCTGACAAGAGCTCATGGTGAGGAGGGGCTGCAGGACAGAGCCAATCAACAGGGCAGAAAAGTCCCCGAAGTTCTCCCCTGGGACCTATCTTCTTGAAAAGTACTGACCCAGTTCCTGACAAGTAGTACCTGATGACTGATGCAACCTATCAGGCATGGTCATCTTTCTCCTCCTCTCTTTTCCCTCCTGAGAGGGCCTTTCAGCCCATGTGACTGCCCTTGAGAATCCCAAACAAGTCAAAGCAAAAAAAAAAAAAAAAAGATCAAGAAGGGGGGGGGCTGAAGATGTAGCTCAGTGTGAAGGCTCTGCCCCAAATACAGGGG